CAACCCTAGTCAGGACTGGCCCCAATGAGTTCCCCACCAAGGCCAAAGTAGCCCTGGAATGGGCCTTTTTACTGACAGAACCAAGCTTGGTTGTCTAGCAACAGCCACTGAGGAAAAAGTTAGCCCCACAAGGACCAAGCAGGAGAAGCGTCTTCGTCAGGAGAGACAGCCGTTTTGGCAGTCTATTCTGTCAAAGAAGTGGCCAAGCTGGCAGTGAACGGGGAAGAGGAGGAGCAGACCCAGCCCCCAGCCAATGGCACATGAATACTCTTGAGTGGCAGTTGATGGGCCAATGGCTGATGGAGCAAACAGCACTACCAATGGGTGAGCCAGAAAGTGTCATGATTGTAGTAGTAAAAGAGAGATGTATTTAAAAGTGTACTTTGCATCCTGTTATGCAGCTGCCAAGGCAATTTCCAACACAATTAGAAGCTTAAAACATGAGTAGCTATTGAAATAAATCTCAGAAGTTGGTCCACTGCAATGAAATAAGAAGTTTTGTGGCACCTTACCTGCTAACACATTTATTGTGGCAAAAGTTTCCTGGAGCCGGAGCCCACTTAGATGCATAAAGACCAGCAAAGTGGACTCTGGTCCACAAAAGCTTAATGCTTTAGAACAGTCATTGGCCTTTAATATGCTACAGCACTCTTGGTCAATATTAAAATCAAAGACCTGCAACAGGAAAGGTATTCACAGCATGAAACCATTACAATGGCCAAGCAGCAGTAAATGATTAAAATGTCATTAAAAACAAAATAAATACAGACGTCATGTTTAAGGAGAACCATTGAAAGTAAAACAAACAGCATGACAACTCTACTAGCAAAACAGAAGTGAGTTGGCAAAAAAACTCTAATGGAGCCTGGGCAAAAAGGAAAGTTTGGAATCTTTCATACCAGAAAGTTGATTCACATAACACATACATAATGCCTGGAATTCACTGCCTAGTTGTCTCTAGCTTATCTGTTGTTAGATTCAGGTGAGTAGCCATGTTGGTCTGAAGCAATAGAACAAGTTTGAGTCCAGTGGCACCTTTAAGACTAACAAAGTTTAATTCTGGGTATAAGCTTTTGCTGATCTTAAACGTGCCACTGGATTCAAACTTTGTTTTATCTATTAATTACATTTATAGCCCATTTTTCTGCCACCATAAAGCACATTGACTTACCTAGGGCTCTCAGATGACTTAAAATAACCATAATAATTCACAGGAAACTGCAAGTTCAGAAGCAATATGCCTCTGAGCACCATTTTTTTTGGTCCATGCTGTGGGGAATGACTGTTGCTGCATCTTGTTACGAGGTACTGTGGCTGGTTGCTATTGGAAACCGGATGTTGGTGTATTGCATGAAACCATAAAGGATATGGTTCTTATGAAATAGTTAAACTTGTTAATAAAGAAGTTTAATTAAATATTTCCACTTGAAAGCGTGTCCCTTATTCCTGTAAAAGGTAATGGGGACCCAAGAGAATATGAGGAATACTTCTTGGGAAACCCACAGCTGTAAAGAGGTTCCCCACTTGTTTTTCTTGCCTACTGATTTTTGGCAACCAAATTCAGCTGCATAATTTGGGAACACCTGTCCACTACATCATTGAATTTAATTTTTGCATGCACTGAATCGGAACATTTCACCCAATTCCTTTTCTAAATGAATTCTTACCATCTTACTAATGAACTTATAAAAAGAACAGGACTTTTAAAATACTGAGAGTGTATTCTCTACCTGGGCCAGAAGGTGGCACTCATTTACCACACACCATAAGAGTGGATCAAAAGTGCTTGGTATGAATGGAATGCAACTCAAAAATAGGAGTATTATTCAGTAGTACATTAAAATATTTGCATGTGTTTCCTCACAACTACATGTTAGAGCTGGAGGTTCATTTATTTGACCAAGGGTAGATTTAAGGATCCTTCTAGTGGCAGCGGTGTACTTGCTGTGCTAAGTTTTCTGAATTGTTATACACAGCAAACTTGCGGTTGGATAAGAACAAAGTTTTGAGTTCAGTGGCACCTATAAGACCAACAAAGTTTTATTCTGGCTATAAGCTTTCTTGTACATGCACAGGAATGCTTACATCCAGAATTAAACTTTGTTGGTCTTAAAGGTGCCACTGGACTCAAACTTTGTTCAGCTGCTTCACACCAACGTGACTATCTTTCTTTGCAATTGGATAGTTCCTCTAATTTCTTGGTGCCTTTGGAACTTGGACTTGTTCATATTGATGAATGCAGTTTGAGACTACTATATATTGCATGGATTTGATTTTCTGTGGACACAATTGATAGCAGCTAACCTCAGCCGACACTGTATCTCTGAATGTAGCTTCTACGGTCCATACTGATCTCTGCGTTCAGTTTTGAATCAGTAAACTGATCTTGTAGAACCGTAGGTCCCAAAGAAGGGGAAGACTTGGGCTTGGTGCTCTCAGATCAGTCAGGAACTTTTGCTAAGCAGATTCTCCCAATCACTTTTGTCAAGCCTCATCGAACTTCAGCTGTCTTTTTTTGTTCAGGGAAGAGCTGTTAGGGGAAAGCTGAAACTGGCCCCCCTCTTCCAGAATGCTTTTACACCATGGAATTATTCATTTAATCTCTATTAGTAACTATGATGATAGTCCTGTTGACCAGATTCTGGATTGAATTGTTGCCATATTAGCCAATGCTCCCAAAGCCCTGATCTGGAAATGTCTTAAGTCTGAAAAGTTACCAACTTATTTATGAGAGCAAATGTGTGATCGTTAAATACAATAAAAAATTTAAGAGCGTCTTTAAGCATTTGTTTTAAAAGTGCTGGCCACACTGACTGAGAGCAGCCCGTAAGAGCCAGATTTATTGATCTGGGAATGAAAAGGCATGAAGGAGTGTTTTTTACCATTCATTTTCCTCTCAAATTCAGATGGCTTTGCTTGGGAGCGGTGGAAACAAACACAACTGGGACAGTCCATTTGAAATAGGCGCTGTAGGGTTGAGGATGTGCCTTCCAAGACCTTTTGACGTTTTGGAGGAGTTTTATTAGGATCTGACTTTGAATTTAAAAGTATGCAACAAGGGTGCAAAGGGCAGAAGTGTCAAATTGGAATAATAGTGGAATTGGAGGAAGGGCTTCTGCTGTTTCTGTCCTCTCTGCTACTGATAACACAGCTGATAGGCTGTGGGAAGCTGGAAAATTCACACCATTTATCAAATGTGCTGAAAACGTAGTTTGAGTTGCCCATTGTGTCATGCATGGTTAATTCCAAGGTTCAAAAACCATGTGGCTGCTTTGTAAGTAAATGATCAAGTTTTCCAGTGGTGTCCCCTTTGGTTTCTAATAGGGAGCTAAGTGCCAGTGAGAGCAGTTCCGCTTTAAGAATCCTGCATTTGAATATGAAATGAAATCCCACAAAATGCCTTAAAAGGGAAGTAGGACTATTGGGCTGTTCTGAGGAACAGCCAATGATTTCTATATTTGAACATTGCACATATTAAAAAGGGCACGTGAAAAGTCCACTTATATGACTAAACTTGAAAGGATGTGGTGTTTGAGAATAACTCTGCCTGCCTGTTTACTTAAGCCTTGGGATCCTGTCTGACAGAAACAGTGTTGAAGCATGAGAGGGCAGTAGTTACCTTTTCTCCACTTCAGTTGCTTCTCTTTTGGGAAGTCTGTGTTGCTAATTGGTTGGGGCAGCTTCTCTGTTAACAGATCAGAACTGCCCCCCCTTCCCACCAGTCTCTGTGGAAGGATTTGATGTTAAGGGCGAGGAATGGCCGCTGCAGCAGACTGTATGGCGCCACCTACATACCTGTTGTCTTTCGTGAAAGTGTTACAGGCCTCAGGTGAGGCTTCTGCATTTCACCATAAAAGTCCCCAGAGCAAAGAGATCCCAGCCTTGCTTCCAGGTGTCAAGTAACACATTCCTCAGGAGGACTCCTTCCTAAAACTTTGCTACAGATTTCTGAATCCAAGCACACTGTAGATTCTGCTGGAAGAAACCATCTGTTCTAATTTCTCCACCTTTAGGCAAAACTGTAATGCTAGGTGCTAAGAGCTGCAGGATAACTCAGTATACTTTGCAATGGGGTCGGCAGTACAAGTAAGAAAACAGCATTAAAGGTGGTGGTGGTGAGAATCTAGTGATGGAATATATGAGCTGCAGCCCTGTACACAGTTATGCTGTATGAATGTCACTGAGTTCAATGGGATGTAGGCAGCCTGTGTAGGACTACAACTTGAAGTCAGTACTTATAAATGCAGTTTTGCACTGGTGGGGGGAGAAACAGTAATGCTTACAGCAGCCAGCGTTTAATCAATAACATGAGTGTGACTTTCATTTCTGAACAGCTTAGTCATATAGGAAATTTACTGTGAGTGATTAACAAATCCCCTTTTCCTTGAGATATTGCATGGCTTCACATAAAGCTGGAATTCAGTGACTATGCTTCATCAACTCTTGCAGTAAGATTTTGCAGGAACTGAGCTGTGGGGAAATCAGCCATCTGCAAGGCTTGGTATGCATAATTTATCCACAAAGGTTTATTGGAGTTGGAGCCGTTGCTCTTAGAAGTTCACATAAGTCAATCAACAAACAGTGAAGACCAAAGGAATTTTACCTTCCCTAGCTGCATTTGATTTTCCAAACTTTAACGTCATCCTTTTAAGAAGTGAGCAATTTAAATAATTTCTCAAGCTTATCAACTGGACCTTTAGGATGTAAAATTTAGTGACCTTCCAGTTTTATCACACACACACAAGCTAAACAAGCTTATTGCTAATCATATGTATTTTTAAAATCAGAGCCAGGAAACTGATGGTCCCCCCCCCCACAAATAATGCAAGCAAACTATTCAATAAACACACGTGATTTATTTTGATTTTGTATAAAAAGGTTAAGTTTACAACTAAACTTTTATAAAAAGTTTAGCATGATTACGTACATCATTATCCTTTTTGCAGAAATACACATTTCTGCTACTATACAAGAAAACTCTAATTAAAGAGTTCAAAGTTTCATTCCCATATTTATATATAAATATATACACAGCATTCAGTCTTAGGTTTGTGTCAAAAAAGGATAATTTTTGACAAAGACTTCACTGAAAAACTGAACACTAAATCCTTCTAGTACTCACGCTCCACCTTTTGGAGGAAAAAAAAGGCAAAGTCTGCTTTAAAATGGGCAATTCCTTTGAGAGTTTTTAAAAAAACATTTCATTTCGCTCCCTGCTGTGGGAATAGTATATAAATGAAGCCTTCCAACTGGGGAAAGGGCATTTAAAAGTTTCTTCATAAATAATTAAGAATAAGTCCATGTTGTAGAATAGGGAAGATGATGTCCACAATTTCCTTTAAATGTCCATTTAATTAGAGATGGATTTTCCCCTCCAGATACTGAAAAAAAATCAGATTCAGCATCTTGCCAAAAAAAGTCTCTTCTTGTGCAAAGAAAAAAAAACTCAGCAAACACCTGCAAAAGATTGAAAAGAGGCGTATTTTAGAAGAATGCTAACAGGGCAGAGATCCGGACAGACTGGCGCCAGAGAGGAAGCCACAGTTTTAACATTTAACCAAACACTCAAAGATTGGGCAAACCCTGGTGTCCAGATGCAGCATGCTCAAATTCTCCTACTCACACACACACAAATGTCTAGGGGGCGTGATTGGAAGAAAACCCAATTGCCTATATAATCTGTATTTGGATCAATGTCTGCAGTGCTTAAGAGGCACCAGGCAGCCTCTTGGAACAATTACTAGATTACAAATTCTTTTACTGATCCCAGGAACAATCATATTGTTCATGCAGCTTTCCCTGTTCCAGCGTAGGTTTAAGAGCAGTTTAGCTTACTATACAGCAGATAATGTTTGAGCATTATACTACAGCTACGCAGTGTTTTTGTGATTTAGTTGCAGTTTAGTTTTTTAAACAACTTTTCAGTTTAGATATACTATAACCTTAAAACTCTTCTCAGAGTGCATTCTCTGAACTCTGGCCAGACACAACCATGTGTGCACACAAGTACACACACATTCCTTGCCCTCCAACTGGAGAGTAATCTAGATCATACAGATATTCTTTTAAAAACCAGGAACTGAGCACTTACCGCCTCATTTAGCCACAAAGTGCTTTGCTGTCATTTGACATTAACTCTGAAGGAAATTCAGCTGCCTGTAAGGGAGGTGGGGAAAGTGAGAGGAGGGGAGGGAGAGACAGAGAAGGGTATTAAGCATCTTAACAGTTTAAAAAAGCATATATGAGGAACTCCAGATGCACTATGTCATCAAACATGACCGGGAATAATTTCTATGGGTGGCATTTCAGTTTTGGTGCCTAGACCCTAATTTTAAGAACGTGTCCCCCGGGGCCTCCTTTATTCCAGCCACAGAACAGATTCAAACCAACAACAATGCAATTAATCAAAGCGGATTGAAAGATTATTTATAGGTGAAAACGGCCTGAGAGAAGTCAGCCAAGGCTAGTAGGGCGCGTACCTGTAAGGACAAGATACTGATGTCCGTGTTTAAGGTGGTCAGAGGGGTTCTGGAGGAAGGGTTTTGTCCCGGCCTCTGGTGATGGAGGCTGACGATACTGGGGTGCGTGTCCAGAGCGATCTGCAGGTCCAGAATGTAGTCGATGACGTGCTGCAGGATTTCCATTTTGCTCACTTTCTTGTTCTGAGGGATGCTGGGCACCAGCTCTTTCAATTTCGAATAGCAGTCGTTCATATTGTACAGCAGGCTCATAGGGTCATCCACCGGGGTTTTGCTCCGGGATATACCCAGGCTGTGTTCCGAGAGGCTGTTTTTCCGGACGGATCGCACGGGACTGAAAGCTTTCATGCTTGAGAAGGGAAAAGAGCCCCGGCTGCACTAAATGACAGGCACGCGGTGGGAGAACCGCCTCCGCCGCCTCGTCTTCTTCGTCTTCTTTCTCCTGCCCTCACTTCCCCCTTTCTGTCTGCAGCAGCCCGAACTCGGTCAGAATGAAGCTGAAACCGCCTGTTCCTCCTTTTATACAGCACGTTCTGCAGCTGATCAATCCAGCCTGGGCCGGCTGCTATTGGAGGCGCTACGTGTGTCCGTCAGGCGCGCAGGCACTTCTCACTGGTACGAAGAGTGCCGGAGAGAAGGCTCAGGCCTTCCGCGTTCTGAGCCAATCTTGGGCAAGGGGGGGCGTGTTCCAAGCACAGCTGTGGCTGGCTAGTAAATACTGTAGGGAGTGCGGAGTCTGATTCAACCTGAGGCCGTTTTACAAGAAGGACTTGCGAACGAAGAACAGGGGGAGCGCATCTCGATTTTGCAGACAGCTCTGAAGCCGGAATACTGGCTGCCTTCCAAAGCAACAAACTTCCACTCAATATAACGATCTTAAAAACGCAACTAAATCTTGACTCAGTGAAGGATGGTAATATCACACGCGCACAACTCTAAAAGATTGGTTTGGTATACGCAGGGTTTCGAAACAGAACAGCAAGGGCAACTCTGCATCGTGGTTGCTGGCATTTTGGGGTGCTGCGGGTTCTAGTTGCCCAGAAACACTTTGATGCACCCGTGAATTTCAGGCGGTCCGAGCTTATGACAGAGATGCAAAAGAGGGCTTTTAAGAAGTGTAAGAGCTGCTGTGTGTACTTCCAAAATTTCATCGAATTCGTTGTTCCGTACTTACTGGGGTTTTTTAAATAGTATTTCTGCCAACAGGCAACAGTAGATGCTGTAAGGGGAGGCACTACAGGAGGGAACACTGTAACTCAGTCAGGCACATCTGTCAGACATGCAAGACCCAATGGAAAGGTCCCCTCTGCCAGCAGCAGAATACTTGACCTCTGAGTAAGTAACAGAGGAAGTTTTCACAGACTGAGAAGTTGCTCAGTAGCTAATCTAACAATGATAACTGGAAAGTGAACCTGCATTTCCAGTACCCAGATATGTATACCTTGTCCATGAAAGGCTCCTGATTCGTGTCCCTTCCTGGCAATAAATTAGACACAAAGGAATCCTAAGGACAATTATAAATGTTTGCAAATGTTGGTTTTTAAACGTAGCTTTCCTGAAGATAATCCCTGGAACTGGTGCTGCCAGGTAGATTTCAAACATGAAATTACAGCTTTATGATTTTTTTTAAAAAAAATTCTTTCACCATTACCTTAAAATATTCTGACAATGAAAAGAAGAAATCACATTGCCATTGCATTAAGATCTCTCTGTTTGATTGTCACAGGAGAGTTCATGTTAGGTATAAATCTGTTATGATGGAGCAATGCCTATGCATCAGAATGCATTCTCCTAGTGGAGAGAGAACTGATTCCGTAGGCAGAGACAGAATTACAAACCAGCCATCCATTTTGTTCCCTTTGCCTTCTTCAGAAGAGCTTCACATGTTGTAATCTTCTGTGAGACGTCCAGGATTTTATCATCATTGGCAGTAATTTGTAGCTTCTCCCTCAGGCTCAGCATGTACTCCTCAGACTTGGTGCTGTTTCTTAAAAGAACCAGAACCCAAGTCCAACCCTTCAAATAGTGATGTAAAGAGCCTTTGGCCTACAGCCAAAGTTCGGACTGGTAAAGTCCAATCCAACACCCCACCCCAATACAAGCACTACCTGCTCATACCTGCCCCAGTTCATCCACTAGAGGTGGCCACCCTTGCAGATGAGAAGAGCAGGTGGGCACTTCTCCCTTATGAAGCCCATTAAATGAACGAGTTGGAGATACACCATGATGACCTTCCTTTGTGTGAAGTTCACACTTGAACAGTACCCCTCTATTCTTTCTGTTTCATTTCGATCCTGCTCTTCCTTTGAGGAGCTTGGTGTGGTGAACATGTTCTCTTCTTCCCCCTACCCACAAGAGATGTTGTTTGAATGGGGACCGGCACACAAATAGGCACCACTGTGGTATGGAGGAGTGTTCTGGTCACATGTTTTTGCTCTGGAAGGTATAGGGGAGGTGACAGCTACTGCCACGATCAACATACAAACTAAGGCTCACAATCTCCCTTCCTCCCCTGCTCTCCCCCCTCCTGCCCCTCTCTCTCCTTGCTGCTTCATTCTACCTGACACATGCACTGTTTGTGGAAGGTTTCACAACCCCAATGCAAGATTATATTTCTATTTTCTTCCTAACTGGTGTGCTTAAAACCACACGTTCAATCAATTTGAACAGTTGAAACCTTGCCTACATCTTATCCTCTATCTGAAGAAATGACTGGGGGGGGGACTGTAATCCGGTACACATTTATTTTATTTCCAGTGCACTCTGAATAGTGCTTTCCCAGTAGTAAGCCCCACTAAATAGACCTGAGGAGGATTCTGTTTAGAATTGCTCTCTTCTGGAGTTCTGGCCCTGCTAGTAGACCTCCTGAGGGCACCTGGGTTTTGGTCACTGTGTGACACAGAGTGTTGGACTGGATGGGCCTGATGGCTTTTCTTACGTTCTTAAGCCAGGCAGTACTTTTATAAATATTAATAATTTCTACTAAGTGCTTTGTAGATAGAGCCTTTCATGTTTACCTAGCAGCTAAGCTCCTAAGTAAGCACTTGTAAAATAACTCATACAAATTAAAAATATACAAGGAGCAACCCCCAACTATACTACTTTGTATTTTCTCATAATTAATATATTCCTCATCTGGTGTTTGGGGGAGAGTCTTGATAATTTTGATTTCTGACTAATTCAATCTATTTTTTTAACATCCACAACTAGATTAGATTACACTAAATACAGCATATTTTATTGCTGCAATTTGTTTTTGCGTGTCTAGGAAAATAATCTGTCAGACATTCATGGGTAGCGTGCAAGCTGGCAGAATATATTGCAGCTACTTTGAAATATTAAGGGTAGTGGTCCTAATGGAAGACCGAAGGCACTGTTAAACCCTGAGTTTCTGACACATGGTAATTTAATTGAATACATTGGGCATGATCCAGCTAAAGTTTTGGGCTCATGTTTTTTTCAAGGAGAAAATTAAGCATTTAAATGTCTCTTCCTGTAATCAATGAAACTGAAAGGCTTAGTATTGGCTGGATTATGCTTTTTGATGAAATGTTCATATTCTTTTCAGAGAACATTGGCTAATAATCTTGGATGCAAAATTAAAGAGTTTTCAATAGGAAATATTATGCACATACTTAATTGTCCTGTTGAAATTGTAGGACTTCAAAGTGCTTAACTTTGGCAGAACTGCTCCATTAAGGGGGTGGTTTTTCAGGAGGTGTCTTTCAAAAGTTCAAATAGTGTGTGTTTGTGGATGCAAATGTTCCCTTTGCAACATTTTGGGTCAAATTCACACAGCCTTGAGCAACATACTATTCAGGTAAGATTTGCTTTGTTCTTCCCTATCTACCTAATAATCCTTATTTGTATTAGTCTGTGTGATCACATGAATAATTTTGCTATAAACCAGATATATGCACTACTGGCACAGGTGCATTTGCAGCCTATCCATGAGGAGCAGGGGCATAGCCAAATTTTTTTTACTATGGGGGGCATTTTAATAAGTTGAGGGCACCACCGCACCACCACCCATGCTGTGTCAGGAGTGACGAGAGAGTAAAACATTATTTAAACCGGTAAGAGAGGGAGAGGAGAGAGGCAAGGGTGCTGGCAGGCAGGATTGGGTGATGGTTCAGCATAGTTGTGGTGCACAAAATGTTTTTAAAAGCAACTGAGAGAGGTGAGGGCGCAGGCAAGGCAGGGTGATGGCGAGGCTCTGGCACATGTGAAAAATAAATTTTAAAAAGTGATGGAGAGAGAGGTGTGGACCGATGCTCCCTCTAAGCTCTGGAGTCCTGTGAGCAAAAATTCTACTTTGTGAGCCACTGGCATGAAAGTTATGAGAAGGTGATTTGGCTGCTGCATAACTTAGTTTGCTCTGGAGCCCTCCTTCCCGAGCGAAGACAAAAATGTGTGAGCCAGAGGCTAAAAAACTGTGAGCTAGCTCACACTAACTCAGCTTGGAGGGAACACTGGTGAGGACGCCGACAGCCAGGGCAGGGTGATGGCTTGGCGCAGCCGTGGAGTGCAAGAAAAATAAAATAAACCAGCTGGATGGGAAGTTGGGACGCCTGGGCGGTAAGTCGGGGGGGGGGATAAGATGCCCCACTGTAGCTACAGGCCTGGTGAGGAGAGCTTGTTCGCACAGCCAGACCCGACACTGATGGTCAGGAGACTGAAGGCAAGTGCAGGAAAGAAAAGTTCAAATGGCTTTAAAAGGGGATTAGAGAGATTCATGGAGAATAGGTCCACGAGGCTTGATTGGGATCTTCATGTTTGGTACCTCTGAATCCCAGTTGCTAGGGAGCAACAGTGGGAGAATGCTTTGCAGCTTGTGTCCCTGCTGTGGGCCTTCCTGGGCATCTGTTCAGCCTCTGTACCACTGGTCTGATCAGGGCTCTTTCCCCCTTGTGTCATGAAAGGCTAATTCAAGCTGGGCTGATAAAAAGAAAAAAAGGTGTGTGTGTGAAGGCAACAATTAGCAAAAGGATTTGTGAATCAGATCCCCAATGCTGCCATTGTAGAGCCAAAGGTTTGCCAGAAGCAATGGCTTTCTTCTTCCTTGCCTTTACCCTTTTCTCTCTCTTTTTCTGCTGTCAGGCTGTAGCCGATTTATGGTGACCTCACAGGGTTTTCAAGGCAAGAGACCTTCAGAGCTGCCTGTGCAGGAAAGGCGGGTTATAAATACAAAATAATGACTATAAATAATAAATAGAGCTGGTATTCCTTGGTGATCTCCCATCCAAATAGCTTCCAAGATCTGATGAGATGTAGCCTGGCCTATCCAAATCAGTTTTTTTGTCTTTTGGACTAATAATGTCAAAATCTCTTAAAAGTGAATTTCTTTAGTTGTCAAATGCCCTTGCTGCCTCAATGGCCAAATCACTAGACACATTGAGTGTTTTCAACTTTTGTTTATGTAGACTATTCTTATTTTGGATTTTTTTTAAAAAAAAATCTATGTATGGGGCTGATATTACAAGGTTTCCCTGACTGGAAGAAT